TGTATATTATATGCGGATCACCTGTAATGTAAAATAATACACATATAATATACATATAATATGTGTATCAAAAAAAAAACACATTTTCCTGATGCAATGGTCAAAATTATTCCAATTTTGATGGTAGAAAGTAGAAATTAATTATGGCACTACTATTAAAAACATAAGTGTAACACCCCTTTACTACATGAGTAACCCCATTTATGACAGTGTCAAAATACTTTGGGCTGCATGTATAGTCCTGGGCTTGTTGATTTATTCCTTGATTTTTGGCTATCTTTAATTGCTCCAATTTTTCAGCTAATTGCCTTTCTTAAGCTCCGAATGAGCTGAACCAACTCAAAATTTAATATTATTTTTTTATAAAATCACGATTTTTCAGATCACTGAAATAATTGAAGCTTATAACATGCTTGAATTTTAGAACATTTAAATCATCATAAATAATTTTATGACAGACTAAAAAATTCCGAAAATTTCAAGTGGGAACGATTCTTGTTTTAATATCTGTTTCTAATAAAAAATGTTTTTTAGGTTCTGGAATATATGTATATTGATATAGTCAAACATAATAATAAGAAAATTGCTTTAAAATTCGTTATGCCAAAATTTACTATTCACGTTTCAATGAATTTTATGTTTTTAAAAATTCATGTAACGCGAATTCAATTATAATTCGTTGAAACGACTATATAAAGTTTCACAATGTTTTGATCAGATATTTATAGAGAATTGAAACGCAAACTGTATAAAAAATCTTTATTATTATTGAATTTCTATTCGTAATATAAATTCTTATTCTAATTATTCGTAATACATCTCAATTAATCGTTTTATTCGTTATTCGAATTATTAATATTAGTTTTATTAGTTTATTCGAATTATTTTATTCGTTTATTCGTTCATTAGCTTATTCGTTCATTAGTTTATTCGTCCATTCGTTTATTCGTCCGTTCGTTCATTCGTTCATTCGTTTTGTTTATTCGTTTTGTTTGTTTTGTTTGAATTATTCAAATTATTCGTTTTTTATTATTATTATTCGTTTCATTCGTTTATCTGGATCATTTGAATCATTGGTTCATTCGAATTATTCGTCTTATTCGCTTTATTCTCTAAGTTAAGTAGATTCGAGTTAAGACTTGAATTCTCAAGTTCGAGCCGAGTTCAAGAAAATAGGTACTTGAATTGTTTTTTAGGTAATGCGCGTAAATGTAAATAAAGTATTAGAAATAATCTTTCGTTACTTTAAAAAATTTATGCAACATCAAACTCGAGTCTATTATTTCTTGATTCGTTCGGGAGCTTTAGTGTTGGCGTTATAATTTATTTTAGCTAATCAGATTTCGACTTTTTCATGAAATTCACTGAGCATTCTC